ACGAACATCCCAAACATGTGGAAAGATATGGGGGGTCCTTTCATGTGTGTGTGTGTATTTATTTGTGTGTCCAAGGGCCCCTTCAAGAAGGAGGAGGGGGAGGGTGGAGGGAGCAGATCGACGCTGGGCGTCGGACGAAGAGGTGGCGATAGCGAAGCTGATTATCGTTCGATGTTTAGGCCTCTGGCCTCAGCAGGCACCATTATTTTCATGCTTGTGCGAGCACGTGTGGCAGTGACTCGCTTATGATAGCAGCGGAGAAGAGGATCGCCCCCCGCGCCGTTCTTGGGCCCCCAGGGGGCCCTTGGTTCTCCTCCTCTTCACGTTCAGTTTCAAGAGAGGTGCGCCGCATTGTAGGCTGCCGCTCCTCGCTGCATTTTCTCGGTGCCGCATCTGCCGGTCCTGTCGCCCGAGCGTGCAGCAACCCGCCGCCTTGCTATGTCTTCCGCGCGCCCAACTCGTCAAGGATCAACGGGGCCCGTCTCGCAGCTGTGCGAGCCAGGGTTCCTGCGATCCGTCCGGCAGGCGGGGCGTCCTCCTTTCCCATTCCCTCCCCCCTCCTCCGCCAGCTCTGCGGCGTTCGACGTTTTCCTCGTGCCGCATCGGCCTCCCTCCTCCCTGGTCCCTGGGTGCACGGGCAACGGTGCGGTTGGCAGGGCCCTGTGTTCGCGTCTTCTGCAGCGGTGGTGTCGCGCGGCCGTGGCGGCGGCGGCATGTCAGCCTGTTGCAGTCCCATGTGAGTGACAGACAATGTCAAGCAATGCCAAGCAGGGCCATGCCACGCCGAGCAAAACCAAGCAACGCACATCAATGCCAAGCAATGCGAAACAGTGCTGGTCATCGATTCCAGGTGAACCAATGGCAAGCAATACTAGGCAATGCCAATGAATGTTGAACGATACTGTGCATTGCATTGCATTGCATTGCATTGCGTTGCGTTGCGTTGCGTTGCGTTGCCTTGCACTGCATTACAATGCATTACGTGGCTCCGAACTGCTTCGACTTATTTAGCAAGGGAAATCCAGCCACCCTGTTTTGTTTCCCCGTGGATGGCTCTGCGTGTCTGCCCTCCAGTGGCAGGCCAGACGCAACAGTGCCAGAGCGGGCCAGGCGATCCGACCTCCGTCTCCTCATCTCCCCTCTACGCCCTGTTCCTTCTACTGGCCCACGAGCGCCTGACTGCCTCGTTCCGCCAGGACGTCGACGCAACTCACGCGTGGGCTCCAGGTGTGCACCGCTGAGGCGCAGGTCCATCCCCCCCCTCCTCTCCCTCCTCCTCCTCCTCCTCCTCCTCCGCCTCCTCCTCCTCCTCCTCCTCCTCCTCCTCCTCCTCCCCCTCCTCCTCCTCCTCCTCCTCCTGAGCTCGTGCCCGCTGCGTCTCGCGCTGCCGGCACTTGGACCGCTTCACCCGCTCACGACGCCGGGGCCAGCGCGAGCCGCGCAGGCCAGGGAGAAGGAGCTGCGGGCGGAGAGCGGGAAAGTGGTGGCCTCGGGCAGCGTGTACGACCTCACGTCGCTGGTCGAGAAGTACGGAGGAGCGCGCCGCCGCCGCTGGCCCCGCCTGGGTGCCCCCTCCTCAGCCACGCGCAGAGGGGGGTAGGGGTGAGGGGGGAAGGCTTCTTAGAAGCATCCTTGCTTGTCAGGAGGGGGGAAGGCTTCTTGGAAGCACCCCCGTTTCTCAGGAGGCGCGGGCCCTGTCTGCAGACGTGGGGCTGGAGGAGCCTTCCAGAAAACCTCTTGCCCCCTCCCCCTGCCCCCCCCTTGTGCGCGCCGCCAACTCCGCCTCTGCTGCCTGATCCCGCTCCCGCGCGTGTCCGCTCTCGCTCTCGGCTCCAGCCTCCGCTCCAGAGGTCTGCGTTGTTCCTCTGGAGAGGGAGGAGGAGGGGATCGGGGAGCAGCGAGGAGGTTGAGGTACATAGGGGAGGGTGAGGGGGGAGGAGGAGGAGGAGGAGGAGGAGGGGGAGGAGGAGGAGGGGGAGGAGGAGGCATTTCTTGTTCTAATATAATCAAATTTCAAGAATCCCTTGCAACAAATAAGGTAAAGTGGACATTCGCGCGCGCAAGACGAAATCCTTCCAAAACCTTAGTGTTCGCAGCGATTTTAACATAAAAACATCAAAAAACCAATGGTTTTTCAACAAAAATTGTCAAAATCTCATCCCGCGCGCTCTTGCGGATTCGTAGGAAACCCAACACTTTTTAAACATTTCTGTCAAACGGGCTTTTGCGAGCAACTTTTTCGAACTTCTGCGACAACGGTTGCGCACCTGCCAGGGCCATCATCCCTGTCAAATAATACCATGCGGGACACATTCGTTTTTTCTTCGCGCGCGCACGCGGACAACCATATCCTCTCTCTCTTGTGTATTCCCACATCCCTCAGGAATTTGCCCTAAAGATGTGATCAACTATCTTGTGAGTACGTATCATGTGTATCATGTGTATCATGTACCATATGCATCATATGCAACAGATGTTCTGTGGAAGGCTTAACAACTTCTGTGGGTTAACAAGGCTTAACAACTTCTGTGGGTGTACGAACGTAGGCTTAACAACTTCTGTGGGTGTGTACTCCACGCCAGTGTAGTAGCCACGGTCGTCCGCAGGCCACGAAGTGAAGTGTCCGAACGTCATAGGGCGGGAAGCTGGGTGTGGGTGGTGGCGAAGAGTCGTGTGGATATTTGGTAGAGCTTGCACTGCCCCCCCACAAAGTGGGGGTATTGGCTGGCGTCGCATGAAAACCCTGGCACTGGTGAGAACACTGAGCGTTCGGGTAAAGTGATTGTTGTTGTTGTTGTTGTTGTTGTTGTTGTTGTCGTTGAACTTTGATCCCCCCCGTCCGGTGCACATGTTTTTTTTCGATTGAAGTGGTCTTCCCGGGGCTCGTACCCTGTTTTTTTTGTCAGGGAAAGTCTTGAGGGTCAAACTATGTCGTTGGCCCCCTGTTTACAACAACAACGGCTCCCGCCTGATACTTCCTCCCAATGTATTGAGGAATCGCGCTCTCGCTTGGGACTTCGTTTCAATTTACCACCGGATCGCGGCTCCCGCTTGATACTTCCTCACAATTTATTGAAGAATCGCGCTCTCACTTGGGACTTCGTCGCAACTTACCACCGCATCGCGGCTCCCGCTTGATACTTCCCCACAACTAATTTAGATGCCGCTCCTCGACTCAAGAATCGCGCTCCCGCTACATATTGCTTGGCGGTTCAAGCAAAATTTACGCTTCAACGACCCGCCCGCTCGACCCGCCCGTCTGGGCCTGCCCGCCCGACCAGCCCGTTAGCGACTGCAGTCGCCGCTCGCTGCCCTTCGCCCGCGTTCGATGCCCCTCGCTGCCAGTACTGGTTCCGCGGTCGCCTTCGCTCGCTGCCCTTCGTGGCCTCGTTGCTGCCCTTCGTCGCAGGGAATGAATATACCCTCCAAAAGGGGGTACGATCGAAGACGAAAGGGCGGGTATCCATGGTTTGGGATATGCATATTGAATGACACGCGAGCAGATGAGAGCGAGCAGTCTTAAAATGATTGGTGTTGTTGTGGTTGTTGTTGTTGTCGTTGTTGGAATTCAAGCGATAACCCAAATTGTATAGCTGGTTGATGCTTTGAGACGAGCGCGTGTGACGCTATGCTTACTTCCTTTTGGGAAGAAGCAGTCGCCCTGCATCAATGTGGCCTTTGTGGGGATCTTCCAGGACGAATCTTCGCGGCGCTACGGCGAGAGCCACGTCCGTATCGTTGGTGAGAGCATGTTCAACGAATGTGCTCAGTCCTAGGATGATAGCCTCATCTTGACAACGAACGCCCCCCTGTCCGTGTGCTTGTAGAATAATTCAATATTCCATGTCGTAAGTGTTGAGGACATCTCAGGCGAAACGCCCAGCGCGCGCCATCGACACATCTGGTGGTGCAGCGAGACTGAGTGAGTGTTTCGAAAGAGTGATTGAATCGACTCCGCCTTATCCTTGCTCACTCCTGCATACTTCTTCTCCCCCTTCCTCCCTCCTTCCTCTTCTCTCCTCAAACTTTTCTTTTTCACCTCATTTTCACCTTTCCCTCCTCCTCCACCTGCTCTTAGACTTGCTGCTCATCCTCCTCCAGAGATACCACTTTAGTCACCGAAGGCTCCCGTGTGCTCTGTTTGCAATGTGTCCTGGCAGTTCCTCAGCCTGACAATCTCTGATTTTGCCCGCGGAGGCCATGTTGCCTGGAGTTAGCGTCGAGGGAGGGTCACGCCCCTGAATAATCTGAATGGCAACTGCCATCCGCGAACAGGGGCTCTCTTCGTGGTGACGCTGGGCGCGGCCAAGGGTGACCGCGCTCTCCCCCTCTTTGATCCGTGGCTCCCTCGCTTTCTCGGCGGAGTTTCTTCGGCTTGCGTTTCCTTCCCCCTCCTCCTCCACAGTTGCGCATTCTGAACACTGCTCTCCTCTCTCCCCTGACTCTGCCCGGGAGATGTCCTGCCCTCTCCGCGTCCTTAATTTCCCCCCCGGGATTTGTATAGTATCAGCTGCAACTTGATTGCTGTCGGTATTTCAAACTGGTGTTCTCGCTGCAGCGTGGGCCTCGTTTTTGGATCGGCGTTTTGCTGCAGCTGGGGTCGTTTTTCTGGATCCGAGTTCTTCCTCATTGTTGTCGCCCCCTCCTTTTCCCCTCCTCCGCCTTCTCTTGATCCTCCTGCTCCCCCCGCTCCTTCGACTCCAGTTTTCGCTGCTGCTGTTCGTCCTCGTCGTCCTCATTTCTCATCCTACTCCTTTTCCTCCTGCCCAGCTCCCCCTTTCCGCATAACACGATGGAGTTTTTCTGGGAGTTCCAGGTCCGCTATGGCACGCGTGTGCGTTTCGAGAAACAGTCATCGCAATGGGAAGGGATGCGAGGGAGGGAGCCCTCGTCTCCTCGTCTCCCCTCCCTCGTCTCCTCTCCCTGTCTCCCTCCTGAGCCGTTTTTTGATGCTTCCGATGCCCGGGAAGGGCCCCCAGAGGCCGAACATAGCGAGAAAACACCGTCGTTATTTTGTTCTCCCCCCTCTCCTTCTCCTTCTCCTCCTCCTCCTCCTCCTCCTCCTCCTCGTCCCCAGCGCGCGGGGCAGGCGTCGAGCAGGTGAAGACCAGTCACAAGGCGCCGCCCGCCCAGCCGCGGCAGGAGGCGTGGGGAGGGGGGGGGCTCGCGCCGGCCGAGGCGCTGCGCAGCTCGGCCTTTGCGGCCTCACGGCGGGCTGGACCTGTTAGGAGGCCACGTGCGAGGGGAGGAGGAGGAGGAGGAGGAGGAGGAGGAGGAGGAGGAGGAGGAGGAGGAGGAGGAGGAGGAGGAGGGCCGTTAGGAGTGGCCCCACCACCCCACGATTTCTAAGGGGGGAGGATGGGGTAGGGTGCGCACGTGCGAACTCTACAGTGGAGGTCCATGCCAAGAAACACCCTGCTTGCCTCCAGGGCGCCCTCGGTTTCTTGGTTTTCGATGGTTTTGCTGCGGAAGGCGCGACCTTCCCACACCAAAAGTCACTGGACGTCCTGGGGTCTCAGGGTTGGGCTTCTTGCGGAAGGCTTCTTGTGGTCGGACCTCCACTGTAGGATGCCACATGCGAGCCCTACCCCACCGCCCCACGATTTCTAAGGGGAGAGGTGGGGTATGTCGGCCACGCGCCGAGCGGGATGGGGGGGGGGGGGAAGGCTTCTTAGAAGCACGAAGGCGCTGGCCTTCTCTATTGATGGACGGCCCGCGCCTTCTCAGAAGCAGCCTCCTGCTAAGAAGCCCTCCCCCCTCCCCCTATCCCTTGTGCGCGCCGCCAAGCATGGTTCGCATGTGGCCTCCTACGGGTGGGGTGGAGCCACTGGGGGCTTGTGCCCTCGGGTCGGCTGTCCTGAATGGCTGACCTCTGCAGTGCCCGCAGCACCCGCAGCAGAACGGCCACCAGGCAGCCGCCCGATGGACGGGCAGCCCCTGGGAGGAGAGCCCTCGGAAGGGCTCGACCTGCAAGATGCCAAACCAGAGCCTCGAGTGCTGGAGGGGGGGGGGAGGTACGGCGGGCGAGCACGACCGGCCCTCCCTGTCACCGGGGAGGGACGGGAGACGGAGGGATGGAGAGGGAGGGGAGGCGGACGAGTGAGAGGCTCGAGGTTCCAGGATCGAAGATCGAGGTTTACTGTCGTTGCTGGGCCTCAGGATGCTCAGAAGCTTCTGGGTGCTTCCGGACATCTCGGAGGCCTCCAGGAACCTCGGGGTACTTCTGAAGGAGGGAGGGAGAGGATTAGGAGGAGGGGAGACCTCCGCATGAGTGATGATCATGGTGATGGTGATTGTGATGATGACGGGGATGGTAATGATGATGATGCTGATGATGATGATGATGCTGATGATGCTGATGATGCTGATGATGCTGATGATGCTGATGATGCTGATGATGCTGATGATGGATGATGATGATGATGATGATGATGATGATGATGATGATGATGATGACGATGACGATGATGATGATGATGATGATGATGATGATGCGTTAATGATGCGTTGAGGCGACGGTGATGGTGATGGTGCTGGTGGCATTGGTGTTGGCGTTGGTTCTGGTGATGATGATGATGGTTATGTGGTACATTCTGCTGATGGTGATGGTGATGCTGACGATGATGCTGATGATGATTGTGGTGGTGGTGGTGGTAATGATGGCTAATGATGCTGCTGATGATGTTGATGATGAGGATGGTGGTGATGCTGATGATGATGATGATTGTGGTGGTGGTGAATGATGCTCATGCTGAGGATAAAGATGGTGGTCATGGTAATGATGATGATGCTGCTGATGCTGATGCTGATACTGCTGCTGCTGACGACGACGATGTCGACGACGACGAAGACGACGACGATGTTGCTGATGATGATGATGATGGTGGTGATGATGATGATAACTGATGATGCGGATTATGCTGCTGCTGATGACGATGATCATGATTATGATGATGATGATGATTATGATGATGATGATGATGATGGTGATCATGATGATGTTGCTGATGTTGTTTATGATGATGATGATGACGCTGATGCCGGAGCTAAGGCTAATTTTGATCATGATGCTGCTACTGATGATGCTGATGCTGATGCTAAGATGATGATGCTGTTGCTGCTGGTGATGATAATGATGGACGGGATTAGAATGATGATGCTGATGATGATGATGGTGGGGATGATGACGATGATGATGTTGATGATGCTGATGATGATGATGATGTTGACGACGCAGCTGAGGATGTGGATGAGGATGCTGCTGCTGCTGTTGATGATGATGATGATGATGATGATGATGATGATGATGATGATGATGGTGCTACTGCTGCTGCTGCTGCTGCTGACGATGACGATGATGATGCTGATGATGATGACGATGATGATGCTGATGATGATGATGATGATGATTATAATGATTGTGCTGGTGGTGGTGGTTGATGATGATGGTGCAGATGCTGTTGCTGATGCTGAAGCTGCTGATGATGATGCTGATGACGATGATGATGATGCTGATGATTATGATGATGATGATGCTGATGATGATGATGATGATGATGATGATGATGATGATG